GCGGGGTTTCATGAGATGGGCAGGCGGTGTAAGTCGAGGCTGCCTGCCGCGGCCCAGCGGGGCCTCTCTCTGGAGGGGAAGGCGATGCGATTGGCTGGCCTCCCTGAAGAGGCAGGCGGCAGCGATCGAGGCAGGAGGACATCTCCTCCTCCTCCTCCTCCTCCTCCTCCTCCTCCTCCTCCTCCTCCTCCTCCTCCTCCTCCTCCTCCTTCGCCTCCCCCCAACTCCTCATCCTCCTTCTCCTCCTCTCCTTTTCCTCCTCCGCCTCCTCCTCCTCCAACTCTTCATCCTCCTCCACCTCCTCCTCCTCCTCCTCTGCCTCCTCCTCCTCCTCCTCGCCGTCCTCCTCCTCCTCCTCCTCCTCCTCCTCCTCCTCCCTCCCTCCTCCTCCTCCAGCATCATCATCATCATCATCATCAGCATCATCATCATCATCATCATCATCATCATCATCATCATCATCATCATCATCATCATCATCATCATCATCATCATCATCATCATCATCATCATCATCATCATCATCATCATCATCATCATCATCATCATCATCAATCATCATCATCATCATCATCATCATCATCATCATCATCATCATCATCATCATCATCATCATCATCATCATCATCATCATCATCATCATCATCATCATCATCATCATCATCATCATCATCATCATCATCATCATCATCATCATCATCATCATCATCATCATCATCTCATCATTCATCTTCCTTCTCCTCCTCCTCCGCCTCCTCCACCTCCTCCTCCTCCTCCTCCTCCTCCTCCTCCTCATCCTCCTCCTCCTCCTCCTCCCCCTCCTCCCCCTCCTCCTCCTCCTCCTCCTCCTCCACCGCCTCCTCCTCCTCTGCCTCCTCTCCCCCCCTCCTCCCACCCGCCTTCCTGGTCCTCCCTCGTCCTCCAGCCTTGTCCGGCGGGGCCTCCCGCAGACCGCAGCGGCGGGAGTGGTGGAGCGGGAGGGGCGCAAACCCGAGTAAATTCCTGGGTAGACTCTGAGAGCTACCATGGTTTCATATCAAAGCCAGCACAGCAGGGTGGCCTCGGAGTTCACAGCTTGTCCCGAAAGGCCTTCTCTGACTGTCTCCCAATGTGTGTCCGTGAAGCTTTCCAGGAGCTCATTCCCAGAGCTTCCAGAGCTCCTTCGCATGACCTTCCAGAATCTTCTGCCACCTCGCTATCCGGGTTTGGGACACCACAGGTCGCACGGTGCTCGTGTGCATGCCGCGGTCTGGGCGCGGCCTCCTTGGAGGGTCAAAGGTCGACGGCACTGATTGGACTGATGGAGTGGGAGAGGCTCTGATCCTGACAAGTCCCACCAGCCCTGTAGGGCTTGAGTGGTCTGGCGAGTTTCTTCTTCCACCTTCCCTTCTTGGCTTCGGCGGGGGGGGTGATCGCTGTTCCCTTATTCATAAGCGCCCCCTCCCCTGGGCGACCGGCAGCCAACCAGGACCAATGCGACCCCCACCCCCGTCCCTGCAAACAAACAATACGAGGCCTACTTTGGGTAAAAGCTTGGGTCATGCTCGTGGGCCCCGCGAGCACTTTGCATTGTTTTGTTACCTGGGCGGCGGGGGTGCCCTCATATTGCCTGCTTCCCGCAAGGCCATCAATGCATCATGCACTTGGCGGCTACATCTAGAGCATGCGCGGCCACCTCGCGATCTCTCCATCGGCGTTTGACAAGGACCGCGGGGATGCTGGCACATTGCCTGCTGTGCGCAAGCCCACCAGACACCATGATGGCCTCCCCGCCGCGATTGAGCAATGGTTCTCGACAAGTGTGGTGGGGGCCGACATGTTTCCCGATGTGTGCTGTCACGTGCGCGGGCGCTTCTGGCACACTCTGCGAGTGCCCTGGACGTGGCGCTGGCGCGGCTGGCCCATGCGGCACACGTGGCGCGCGTGGAGCACGTGGCGCATCTGGGGCGCGCGAGGCGTGCCTGGCACGCTTGGGCCCCAGGGGTGCCTGGCGCACCTGGAGCGGCTGGCGCGCGTGGCGCACCTCGCCCCATCGCGCACCTGGGGTCTGGATTGGTTCCCAGTAGCTGCCCACCCGTAGACGACAGCTGAACATGCTAAGGCCCTAGTGCTACTCATGTCTTGGGAGGTCGGGTGGGAATGAGCGAAACAGCTTGCGAGCGGGGAGGGTGTCTTGACACCTCCCCCCACAACCTCCCCCTGGACCTGGAGGGGGGCTTCGCGGATTGTTGGAGCGTCCACGATGGCTTTAACGAGAATGCCAAAATGGTCGATTGTGCTGTGGTTTGGGCAACATGGTGACCCTGGGAGGGGGACTCTAATTAGGAAGCTCCCCTAGGAAGCTCCCCTCCTGTGATCGATTTCCTCCTAGATGGCCCACAGATGGCCCCCGAAGCTCCCGAGGGTGCCCAAAGAGGACCCCAAGAGGGGTGCCGGGGATGCCCCAAGATGCCCCCAAAAGGCCCCCAAGATGCTCCCAAGGGGCTCCCAAGAGACCTCCAAGACGCCCCAAGAGGCCCCCTGGAGGCACCCAAGGCGCCCCAAGAAGCCTCGGCGAGATTGCCGAACTCATTGATTTGACTCTGGTTTTGGCCACGTGTTGGCCTCCTTGGGGGGAGGCCCTGATTAAGAACCCCTCTCCTTCGATCGATCTCCCCCAAGCTGGCCCCCGAGGCTCCCAAGTGTGATCCAAGAGGGCCCCAAGAGGGGTGCCTAGGAGGCCCCAAGACAACCCCATTAGGCCCCCAAGATGCCGCCAGGAAGCTCCCAAGAGACCCCGAGGAGGCTCCAAGAGGCCGCCCAGAGGCGCCCAAGACGCTCCAAGAGGCCCCCGGGACTGCCAAGCGACCCCCAAGACACCCTGAAAAGACTGCACGCAGCTCTCTAAAGAGATCCGAAGAGACTCCGAGAAGCATTCAAGAGGCCTCTGGCCTTTCTGCTCACCCTCCCCCTCCTCCCCGTCCTCCCCCTCTCCCTCCTCCTCCTCCTCCTCCTCCTCCTCCTCCTCCTCCTCCTCCTCCTCCTCCTCCTCCTCCTCCTCCTCCTCCTCCTCCTCCTCCTCCTCCTCCTCCTCCTCCTCCTCCTCCTCCTCCTCCTCCTCCTCCTCCTCCTCCTCCTCCTCCTCCTCCTCCTCCTCCTCTTGTTCCCCCTCCGATGCCTCCTCCTCCTGTTCCTCTTCCTTTCTCGTCCTTCCTACTCCCCCTCTCCCTCATCCTCCTCCTCCTCGTCCTCCTTCTCCATTTGCTCCCCCTCCGATGCCTCCTCCAGCACCCCCCTCTTTGGGCACGACGTCTTGCCCAGCCCTTGATTCAATTGCGTTATCCTCCATATCCCTGCTCAGGGCAGCTAGTCTGGGCATCGTTTCTGGATGGGGTGGCGGGGTTACTTGTTCTTTTCCTTCGCGAGCGTCGCGGTCCAACCGCGCGCCGTCCGAACACGCGCAATTATCTAGCAGCGGGCTGAAAGGGCGGTGGGGTTACTTTTTTGGTTAGCGGCTCCTAGGCGACGGCCAAGGAGCGGGAGCGACGTCCGGGGCGGCGGAACGGTGCGAATTTGCGAACACGGCCGCCAGTGGGTGGTGGGGTTACGCGAAGCGTCTAGACAGAACCTGACGGTCGTACGCCGCATGCCTACCGCGGTCTGGCCACGGCACTGGTGGGACTGGTGATATCGGGGGGGCACAGACCACGATGCGTGCAGCAGTGCTGGTGTGCCTGCCGCGGGCTGGCACGGCCTCCCTGGAGGGTCAGGCAGCACTGGTGGCACCGGTGAAGCGTGAGGAGCACGAGCCCTGATTAGCCACACTGCCTTCGTGCTGCTGCGGCGGCCTGGCGGGGCCTGCCCCGTGGCCTCAGACGGCCCTGGCGGGACGGGTGGAGGGGCCGGTGGCGTGGGAGGGGCACGACACGGCACCCGTGCTTCCGCTGCTGTCTGGCGGAGCCCCCCCTGGACGCCTCAGACGGCACTAGTGAGGCTGGTGGTAAGTCCGGCCAAGTCCCTCTAAAGGAGGAATGTTGAAGAGAATAGTCCAAACATAAGATGGGGACGATTGCTCTACTACTGTCGGCTATGTTTGAATACGTCTTGATTTGTGCCGAGAAATGCTTCCAACATGCGCCGGTAAGAGGACATGCCCGACCTAAGACTTGTGGAGGGGTTGGTCGTGTGGGAAGGTCGCGAAGCCTGCCGAACACGGTATTCGAGCGGCTGCCGCGGTCCTGCGGGGCCTCCCCGGAGCCCTCAGACGGCACTGGCAGGACTGGTGAAACGGGGCGTGCGGAGCGGGAGGAGCGCGGAAGAGGAATGGCGCTGGCGGGGCCGGCACAATGGGAAGCGCATGCAGTCGGAAGGGCACGCAGAAGGCAGGGAATGAGGAGGAGGAACAGAAGGAGGAGGAGGAGGAGGAGGAGGAGGAGGAGGACGAGGAGACGCACTGAACTAAACGCTGGAGATTATCTCTGAAGTCGTAGCTAGATTGGAGTGAACCTTCCGACAGGGAACGGGGAAACGAATGATCAACCCTGCGGCAGCACAGGTGCCAGCATCCACAACGAAAACCTCACAGGTGGGCCTGGCTGGAGGAAGCGCCCCCGCTGGCCTCGAGGCAAACCCCACAGGGCAGATGGAATAGGAGGAGGAGGAGAAAGAGGAGGACGAGGAGGCAGGAGGAGAAAGGAAAGCATGTTCGGGACAGAAAACAACCCACTCAGAAGCTGGTGCATCTGCGATGGCGGTGCCGAAGCTGGGGACAATGCAACACGTGACTTGCGCATTCGTGGACACGGTGAAATCAAGCAGAAACCGTACGACCATCGCTGCGTGCTGGTAGCCGAACAACTTGATAGGTTTCACCCCATGACGTACCACGAATTAGCTTCTTCCTGAGCGTAGATAATGGGCGGATGAAACCTCATGCATTTGTACTCTTCATTCTTCGGACACGGATCAAAGTCCACGACCATGTACTAAGATGCGGCTACTTGTGCCGGCAGGCTGCTGGCCTCTTCCAGGACTCCGTTGCCGTTGAGATCGTGCAGGCGGAAGAGATCCTCTCCCAGATCTACGATGAGGGAGCGAGGATCAGGGGAGATGAAAAACCCACTCTGAAGAGTGTACGGCAGCAGCAGCGGCAACAACAGTAGCATGGCAGAAGAAGCTGAAGACCAGTGATGCTGGAGCGTGGCTACAAGAGTCCAGACCTCTTCCGACCCCAGTTCACAATGTTTGCTGCAATCTTCAGCATCAGGCGGAGCTGTCTGCTCGCTCCTTCGAACTGCGAGGGTCCCTCACGGGGTCCTGGAGCGGCTTCCCCTTCTAACGAACACGCCCACAAAACAGCCGGCCGTCCAAACCGCCAGCCGACATGGCAATCACCCAGCAAGCCAGCCAGCACACCTGCCAGGCGGGCAGCCAGGCAACCAAACAACCACCGGGGCTGCCAACCAAGATTCCACCAACCAGCCCAGCCTGGCCCAAGCAGTGGAATGGGGGGCCAGCGGCGGAGAGGAAAGGAACATCAGCGATCCACCGTGCGCAGCCCTCTGTCTTCTTCGGAGCACTTGGGCGACGAAAACAAAAGGGTCTCACGCGAGATGGCACTGCGACCTTACGCGGTGGCTTACGCGCGCCGCCAGCGCGGCACGCCACAAAGGAAACAAGGGCGCTGGCGCGCGACCTCACGCGGGCAGTTTGCGCGCGAATGTCAGCACAGTCGAACATGTTGTTCTGCGTCGCTCGCTTGGGGTGGCAAATTTTTTTGGGGGGGCACATCTCAGGGCATAGCTGCCCCGATACGCAACACGCAACACGTAATGTGCTGACACAGAACCCAACACGTAGACTGCAAGCGGAGGTCTGCCGCAATACGTTCGCGAAAACGTGGGCCAACACGTGCTGAGCCAACACGCAGCGTGTTGTCACGGACGTCGTGAACCCAGCACGTATTGCGTTTCAAAACGGGAGTACCAGGGCAGCTACGTAAGTCTGGCGGTGAAAACGCAGTCATGATGCGATTGGCTCAGGTTCGGGGATCTTCTGACCCAGGTCAATCCAGACCAGGGTCAGTCAGGCCGTGCAGGATCCTGCAGGATCCTGCGGGATCCTGCACCCAAACAAGGGTCAGTGCGCCTCTGGCCCTGCAGGATCCTGCAAGATCCTGCGCTCTGATTGACCCCCATTTGTATTGACCCTCGTCTCTTGAACCCCGACAGTTGAGCAGGGACCGACCGTCCCGGCATTCCGATAGTCCTACCACGAAATGTTCTTAGAACCAAAACAATGTTCTAATAACAAGAACAATGTTCTTAGAGCATAAACCCGACGTGCTAAAACAAGACAGTCCCAGCCAGAAGTGTTCTAAGAACATTTCCTGGAAACCACAAACCGTTTTTAGAACAGTGTTTGGTGGGGCTATCGGCGAGCCGGGACGCTTCGCCACTGCTTGACAAGAGGGCCCCCTCTGGACTGCCAGACCAGACGGCCGAACGGGGCCGCGAAACGGCGCCCGGGCACGGCTCAGAGGCCCCCCAAAACGACCTAAAGAAGCTGGCCACGAAGCGCCCAGGAGCGCTGCAACGCCCCGCTGCCCCCAGGTGCGAGTGCGAGGCCACACTGGTCTGTCAAAATGGGGGCGCGGGGCGCCCGGCCAGGTACAGTCGGACCTGGGCCAGAAGAACACTCTTCAAGAACATGAAACCTTCCGCCGGCCAACACAAACAGAACATCCAAGGGTACCCTCCCCAGGATGCACGAGAGCATCCAACAAACACGAAGAACACTGGGGCACCCTCCCCGAACGAACCTCGACCTTATACCTCGGACCGACTGTACTCGGCAACGGTTGGGGGACAAGACGCGACCGCTGCCCAAGCACCCAGCCCCACTGGGCCGTGGGAAACCGTTTTTGGCGCGTGATCCACAACACCAGGGAGGTTTGGAGGCGGCCTGGGGGTCTGCGCTGGTTGGGCGCAAAGAACATCGGTCGAGGGGGGATGAAACCAAATCCGATCAAAATCGGCCCCCGGACGCCTCCCGAAGTCCATCTTGTGCATTCGTTTCACCCTTGATCCGCTCCTGACGGTCCCAGGGCCCGAGCACGACCCCAAGAAGCCGTCTCGAACCCAGAACCTCGAACCTCGTCCCCCTCTCATGCTGCCCAGAAGCAATGCGCCACGTCCTCAGACCCCCAGCCGGCCCCCGAGCAGGCGTACGAGATGATTGGCTGCCCCCCCTACTCACTTTTCCCCCTCCGTAGAGGCCCAAAGTCACCTTACGGTCAGGAGCGTTTGCTTAGCGCGGCGCCGTGGTGGCGTCGGCGACGCGCGATGCCCCGTTTCGGCACACCCCTCGCACGCTTCGTGGCCCCATAGGGAGCTCCACCACCGAAGGCGCCAATGGCAGTGCTCAGACATCGGCGTCGCCTCCGTTTCGGCACACCCTTGACGTGTTTCGTGGCCCCATAAGGGGGCCCCACATCAGAAGGCCCCAGTTGTTGTTGTGCGGGCGATAGAGCAACCCTAACTCATGAGTAACTCTCGGCCTCGCGATTCGCAGCACTTCGGCCGCACTTCGCTAGGAAACTGCTGACGGCGCGGCAAGCGAAGGACACCACGCCAAGGGAGAAGGAAAGGGAAGAAGGGGGGAGGACCAGAGGGAGGGGGGAAACGGCACAAACGGAGCCAACACAACAGGCGCACTCCGCCACTGCTTAGGAGAACGCGCACGCAACAAAGTGTGGCGTTTTTTCGCGCTGGGGTGGGCAGAGACGCGAGGCGAGAAAGAGGGACAAATCGGGGCCACAGCTAGGTGGCCCAAAACCTGTGCGCCACTCAGAGGAACTGCAGCACCTCAATAGGGCTACGCCTGCAAGGCCGCGACCTGGATAGCATCCCAGAGCCCTTCCTCCGATCTCCTCTGCGGGCGGCCGCGGCAGACTCTCGTGCGAGTGCGGGACTCGTTGGCGGAGGAGGCCGCAATGCGCTGGCGATGGAGCCAATCGCTGGCGTGCCAGTGGAGCTACGGCCAAAACCAAGCCCAAGGATCGTGGCGCCTCCCGACGTGGTCGTGCCACGACTTGACCGATCGTGCCCAATCACGGCTCCATGTCCCGTCAGTCGCCACAATGCCGCCAGCGATGCTCCGGCGGCGTTGCGCATAGGCCGCAGGGGACTCGGAGGCCCTGGACCTGACGCCCGCCAGGATATACACCGTCTTGCGTTGGACGCCGTCGAGTTTGTCGGCGGCGCTTATCTGGGAAGGCCAGCGAGACCAGCGGAACGACGCAACAGGCTTGATGGAGGTCTGCATGAACCGCAGCTTCGTGGGGTTGGTGCTGGGTGCTGGGTGCGGACACCAACACAGGCTTGATGGAGGTCTGCTTGATGGGTGCGGTCTGGAGCCCCTTGGACATGTGTCCCCAGAAAGCTCCCCGCATGCTACGGATCGTGAAACTCAGGCAGGTCGCGATGCCTCCGTCGTCTGGATGGTGACCGAGGCACTTGAGTGCCGTCCGCTAGTGCCACTCGCCGCTGACCGTGGCGTTGCTTGGGTAGCCCCTGCACGTCATGTTTTCCATGGGGTCCTGGCCAAATTCCAGAGACCAGCAATGCTTCAAGTGCACTCCGCAATCGATGAGGACAGAGGACGCAGCCTCTGGGGAGGGCCCGAAGGCCACGAGATTGTCAACGTAGAAGGCGAGGGCGCAAAACCCTCGACAGAAAAGCAAGAACGACACCACGGCTCGGAACGGCACAACGCCGCGTCAAGCTCTGGGATTCGGCTGGCAGCAGACGCCGAGCGGCTGCCAGTCAAGGTGCCCACTGTGCGATTGCTCAATCGCGCCTCAGCGGTGCCCGCGACGAGGACGAGAGCGGGGCACAGCTGGAGCGCCACGAACGACCTCGCCAGTACCACGCTGAAGCCACTTACCACCAACCACTGCAAGAGAAGCAGCGGCTGCAAACTGTCGTAGCATCGGCGCGCGTCGGCATGCGCAACGCAAGCCTCCGATCGCATATCGAGGCCCTTCTCGATAACGAGGCTGGCCTGGAAAGCGACGTCGAGAACCTGGCGGCCCTTCCGGGCGCATTCAAAGAAACATCCGTCGACAGACTCGGCCAACGAGTCGATGAACTCATTCATGCGACGTGCAGTGATGAAGTCCAGGGCGACCAACACGACTGGCAGAGGAAGAATGGCACGCGTGCGGTCAGCTTGAACGGGTCCAGGGTCTTCGGCAAAGATCCTGCCGCGGGCGTCGACGTCGCGGAGCTTAGCCGAGTTCGAGGGCAGGCTCGTGAAGAACGCGGCGGTTGCGACGGGAAGCGCGTTGAACACCAATTGCGCGCCCACGGCGCAACAACCATAATGGTCAAGCACTCGCTGGCGGCGCACTGCACAGAAGGCTTCTCGCACCTTGTCCGCGGTGACATCGATGCAGTGTTCCCGATACTGCGCGATTTCGCCCTCAAGCCACTTGTTGCGAGCGAGGTCTTCGCATCCCCATTTCTGGGAGTGCCCGTTCGAGATCAGGGCCGCCCGCTCACAGTGGCCCACGGTGACGGAAGAGTCAATGGCCTTCGTCTTGGTCAGCTCGTGCAGCTTCTTTGCCTTCCAGATCGGCCTCCCAGAGTTGAAAGAGCGCTGGTCGCGGATGCGCCGCAGAGTGTCCGACCAACGTTTTCGGCCCGCCCAAATGAGTTTCAATAGTCGGTCGGGTCCGCTCGGTCTCTGACGAAGCGATGGCACGCTGGCGACGCTGGTTTCCTCGATGGCAGCGGGCTCGCGAGATCCTCGACGTTCGGAGCAAGGGGCCCTGGTCGCAGGTCGCAGCCTGCACTGTCGTGGCGATGTCGCAGAAATCATCGACTGTCTCGATTGGCGCCGCCCCCATGCTGTCCATGATGCCCTGGGCAACGGAGCAAGCCGTCGGGATGCCCATGGACGTCCACGTGCTGCGAGGTCTTCGCGCGAACAACCAACTAACACGCGGGCACCGCGCGATCCTCGCGGAGCTCCTCGCGGATTTCTTGGATCGGCGCCGGCGCCGCCA